AGTATTTTTAAATATATATAATATATATTTTATATATATATATATAATATATATTTTTTAAATATATATAATATATATTTTTTAATGAGAATCATTTTAGGATGCGATTATGGTACATCTTGTACCATAGCCAGCACTTTGGGTCCAACCAGCATCAGGAATGAGAGGCCCCTAAGGAAATCCTAAGATTTTGAAGGAAGTGATCTTGGTGATTCAATATGGAACATTCTTCCCAAGTCAGAAGAGCTGAGTTGGCGCACGGCACTATTAAAAGCCTTATCTTTCCTCTGTGCAGGTGCAGGAATGCAAAAGCTTATTTCAGCCCAAATTCTAAATCAGAACTTGTCATCCCATGCTATTTAAATTTCTAGAGCAACTGAAAGGACTATTCTTTTTTCACTTCCTGTGTTTATAGTTTGGGACCCAGTCAAAACATATTGCATTCTACTCTTAAGTGAATTAAGATCTAGGGCTGCCAAGGTCCTATCATATATCTAGTGCTTTAAAAGGGTTTATAATAACCCTATTCTAATCCAGTCCTATTTTCCCATGCAAAGATATTAGGAATCCATGTTATGCATGTGTAGGCCTACATACTGCGCTATAATCTCTAATTGGTCTTGTAGAATCATTAAATCAATATTTTGGCAATAAACCAAGTATTGGAGACTTTTTGGTCACCATCAGGGCTTGCAAAGATTGAGTTTTGATTTTCCTCAATATCCTGTTCAGTAACAATGCCAACACTACTATCAAAGTTTTTACAGTCTAAATCTTTGTTTATTATTTTATCACGTATGGCATCCCTCTGATTCCTGTCCAAAAAGCTATTGTTGATGCCATGACTAAGGAAAGTTCTTCTGGCTGAAAGCTATATTGACTGATTTGCAGGAGTGTGACCCATGGACGCACAGTACCAGCGCGCCGTCTGGGCTCATCAAATTTCCTCCTTTGGTTAATGCTACTGTCCCTGAGCACATCCATTCAGACCATATGGTTCTTATTCAATACTTGAATGGCTTATTCAGGCAAACATCCAATGGCTGTAATAGCGATGTCAGACCCCCCAGGACTCACGCAAAGATCAGTTTTTAATTTTTTGGCCATATTTCTTACTCCATCTGCTAAATGTGCATGGACCAGTTCCCATACTTACATGGAACATTTGTGGAACTGCGCCCCCGGGCAGGGATCCCATATCTTTTGCAGCCAGAGTTTGACGAGATCATTGTGGATCCAGTCCTCTGGATATGTCTATGCTATCACTTGAGCAATATTTCTCCCCTCCCCCCACTTTTTTTTTTAAAGGATTTATTCAAAAAAACTATGAGCAGCTTTGGTTTTATCCTGCTGGCTAGACAGGATGTAGGTTTTTTTCTTGTTCCTTCTTCAGACAGTAGTTTTGAAATTCAAAGTTAAGATCAGAGGTCAGTCATGGGTATTCCATTCATGTTTCTGAGACACACAAAGTCATGCTTATACTCTCTGATGCTCGTTAGTGCCAGTTAAGACAGTCTGGTGAAGTATTTTCTGCCCACCATCATCTATGGTTGGAAAATAATGAAATGAATGATGATGCTCTAGTAATATACACTGGCACCTTTCCTCTGAAGAAGCCCACAAAAAGCTCACTGAGATATCATCTTACTCCATCCTCACAAGATCACTACAAAATGTTGAAATAGATCTCTCTCATTTCAAAGTGGAGATTCATTACTTTGCCGGTTGTAACACAATCATATATTCTTGCCTCAATGTTCTGCCCACAGTGCTTTCTCATTGTAATTCCTGAGATAACAAATTGTTACAGGTAGATAAGTGAAAAATCCGCTTAGTATTAAAGGGTAAAATACATTGTCACCACCAATCTCAGGCTCAGTGACTTACTTTATTCCTGTGACAAGAAAAATTTGCTTTTTTCTCTGCAAATTTCCCAACTGAAGGTAAGGTAAAATCACGGGCAGTGTAGAGGGGCACGGTTTCAACTTTGGAATCAGAAAGACCTGGGCTGGAGTCTCAGCTCTGCTTTTAAATTGCAGTGTAATCTTAGGCTTTCAAGTCTTACTCTCCCCAGCTGTAAAATGGAGTTAAAACAGTACCCACCTCATAGGATTTTTGCCAATATTAAACAGAACAAATATGTGCCTGGCACAGCGTAAGTACTTTAAAAATTTTCATTATCATCATCATCATCATGGTTACTGGTAATGCCAACTACATTTTAATGCCACACAAAGTTGACTAGACCAGGTGAAATTTCTACTTTAATTGTGTCACTGGCTCTTTGCATGGCTGTTTTGGTTGGAGTAAAAATTCTGAGTTCTGGTTTAATTTCCTTTTTTTTTTTTTTTTGAGTTCTGGTTTAATTTCTAAATAGATATAGTCTTAAGAGAAAAATCTGCATTTGGCAACAGTAAACATGCTTCCCTTTTAAGGAAAAAAAATAACTGAAATTAACAATAAAAATTCATAAATAAATAACATGGCAAGTACAGTTGGTAAAAAATAAAGAATGGCTTAGCTCCCATATCTAGTCCTTTTTATTTTTTTCTTTTAAATATGTAGGTTGATCTGGTACTTGGAAAGCCTTTTCATAAATTCACTGTTAATGATAGAGATGGTTTGAGGGTCTTCTCAGAGCACTCTGCCCTTTTCCTTTCTAGAAGTCTGCATATGTATTTGTTCTTTTCATTCAGTCATTTAAAGTTTGTTAGTCACTTTCATAAAGCTATCTATTGATCGTCCATGTCTCTGAAAGCATGGTTAATATTTGCTTTGTAGATTAATCTTATTTATTTTTATTTTTTAATATTTATTTATTTATTTCTTTTAAGTAGGCTCTATGCCTAGGGTAGAGCCCTGTAGATTAATTTTAGATAGTGAAACCCAACATGTTGACTATATGAAACTACGATATTGTGAGTATGAGTGGTCTCTTGGTACACCAACTTTGCTATACTTACAAAGTTCTTAAATAGTCTTTCATGGAGCCCAAGATGTTCTGTTGAAGCATGTAAGAAGCTGAGAAGGGTCCAAGGACAGGGTAAGAAGGTAGGCAAGGAGTTCTTTTAACAAGAGTATTTCCATTTTTTCAAATGTATATTATCAGAATTCTGTAGACTTCATTTGAAGAAACTATTTAGGGATCAAAAAGTTGACAACCACTATCCAAAATTAAGAATGTGAATCTTTAGTGGTGCCTGGCTGGCTCAGTCGGAACAGCATGTCACTCTTGATCTTAGGTTCATGAGTTCGAGCCACATGTTGGGTATAGAGATTACTTAAATAAGCTCTAAAAAAAGAATGTGAATCTTTAGAAATCAAATATATTTTTGTCCCATTTTATTCACTTTCTCCTGTCTGTGCTTATTCGTGTACATGCTTAAAATTATTATATCTCTGTTTGTTTATCAAATTTAAATTCAATACTGTTAGATTTAATATTATTGAGAGTGTTTTCTTGGTATCCCTCAAAATTGTCAGTAATTTCCAAACAAATATCACCTCTATCCCATATATGCAAATACTGTTAAGATATAACATTTGAGGGTCCTACTATTAAGCACAAATAATAAGATATTAAATATGTGTCTACCATATAAATGATTAGTGGGGTTGAGCTATGTGTTCTCAGACAGCCACCACCTGTGGTTTCCTTACTTGAAGTGATTATATAATTTATAGAATGCTAGTAGGAAGACTGTGAGAGGTTTAAAAGAATGAATTCTTTATGCTTGTGATTTAAAAATAAAGTACAATAACAAGAACCATGAGGCTTAGTGATAGTATTATTCTAGGCAAAAAGAAACTGTGGTCCATGGACTAGATCACAAGAATAATAATCAATCAAGGGCAAATAAAGAGATTCTCACTGTAACTTTCCCCCCTTACTACTATGTATTTCTTCTAAGTACAGATTGATGTAAATTGCTACTTGTCGTTGACAAGAACTGCTGACTCCAAAATAAACCTAGACTGTTGTTTCAAGAATTCAGTTCTTAATATTTTCTATTACTTCAGTGAAAAAAAAGAAAGAATTTTTTGTAGTGTGTGAAGGTCTCTGTATTTTTACTGGCTACTTACAAAGTCTCAAAAAAAAGATCCTTAATCCTTTAAAAATGACCCTATCAATTCATACATTTAGCACAATTTACCAACATTTCCAAACTCAGCATGGAAAAGCCATCAACATGGCACTAGGTCACAGGTCTTGAATGAAGCCGTCAGCAAGGATTAATAAAACTGTGACAGCTGCCCAAAAGCTTTCATTCTTTCATTTAAACATCAGATTGCAACCTGAAATGCAGTGTAATCTTTGTTGAAAGTCCCCCAACTAATGGAAGAATTCAGAACTGAGAACAGAAGACAGTAGTAGTTATTATTGTAAATTTAGCATGTAGCAACAAATTCTAGAATTCACATATATAGCAATTCCTAAAGAATTTCAGAAATAGCATAAACTATTCTTATCTGCTTGAATAATTCTTAATAATGATATTTTTCTGAAAACTAGACTGATGAAACTAAAATTATTTAGCTACAATATCTATGCTCAGTAAAATGTTTAATTATTCCTCTACTACTAGCCCTCTTATGTTGTAATTTTAAATCAACTCTAGTTTGACTCTAGTTATAAATTATATTTGTGGGTCACATAATTTTCCTGGGAATTATTTATCAGAAAGAAACCTAGACTTACATGACTAAACAGACTATATTATATGACAACAAGATTATTGTTGGATTTTCTATACAAATATATACATATATGCACAGAAAGTTTTAACAGAGCTAGAAAATAAACCGTCACTGTAATTTCCCAAACACTGCAGATGTGCAGATGTCTATATGTGCCAATTAACTCTTTAGGCTAGGTATCTACTATTTTCTCAAGTGCATTTTAAATTAGTATGCATGATTTCCTAGAGGTTGAATACCAACACCAGAAATGGATCAGATTAGTCTACTTGTCAAATAGATAATAAATATTTTGAGCTTACCCCCTTTTCAATATTCCCAGTTTGACAGAGTGTTCCTTCAGCTGCAGGAATACTGTTGGTGACACAGCGGTTGCTTTTGCTGAGACACCAGAGCTCTCTACACACTTCCTAGGAAAGAAGGCAAAAAGCAAGTTGATCAGAAGTAGAGACTAAAATCATGTCCACTTCTTCCAAAAAATATACCTATGTGTACTCGCATTACTTTTTAAAAAGACATCCCAAGTGTTTTCCTGCTGTTGAAGCACAAAAGATGAAGATTTTGGAGGAGATTCTTATACAAGATGTGTTAACCATTTTGCAGAATCTTTTTCTTTATAATTCTTATTTTAGTGGATAAAGAATATCTTAGTTTTTTTATCAGAATCTTTAAAAAATAATGTGCAGAAATTTCACTAATGCACTGGTGCATCTAGCTGGCTCAGTTGGTAGAACACATGACTCTTGATTGTGGGGTTGTAAGTTCGAGGCCCACATTGGGTGTAGAGATTGCTTAAAGATAAAATCTTTAAACAGGAATTCTTAAAAAAAAATTTCATTACTGTAGAAGAATAGGGAGAATGGATGAATATGTAGAAAGGAAATAGGTTTATTACTCTCAAGAATATACAATTGTACCAACTTACCAATTACTAATAAAGTGTTACCAGGTGGTGACTTCCTAGACCTACTGTAATATTCAAACAAATACCATTTTAAAAAGAAAAAAAAGAGAGAGACCATGGGCAAGGGCAGGGAGTAATTTCTAAAATTCATAAAGAACAATCTAGCAATGTTATTTGCAGATCATCAGTGTAGCCCACCTGCATGAAAGGGAAATGTGGTTTTGAACAAATGCTGCTATTTATGTGTCATTTTCATAACTGATATATTTCAGATGTTGTTTGGAGTTGTCTTCACTATCATTTCTTTGAAGAAAATACTCAAATTTTTCAATTTCTTTTTATATATGATCACCGACTAGCATCATTACTGATAGTACAAGTTTTTAGTTACACTAGAACCATTTAGTATAAAATACATATTTGCAATAAAAATATATTAATCTGGAGTGCAAAGATAAATTTATGTATAATTCACTTTTATTGCTATTATTTCCCAACTGCTCTTTTTACTCTCAAAACACCATTGTAAAAACTTATGTCATGTAAACATAATTCAGAAATGAAGTGGTAACATTTAATTCACTGGTTCACCTTTCCTACAAGTGGAAATGCCTCACAGGGTGTAACATTGAGGGGATCTCTTTGGGCGCCTCTTTAGGATTCTCCCTTCCACCAGGCACAAAAGGAGATATATAATTTCTATTATACTTTTTAAAGATTTTTTTATTTGAGAGAGAGTGCACACGCGCGCGCGCACACACACACACACACACACACACACGAGTGGGGGCAGGGAGGTGGAAGGGGCAGAGTGAGAGGGAGAAGCAACAGTTCCCTCTGAGCAGGGAGCCCCATGTGGGGACTCGATCCCAGGATCCCAGGATCACGACCTGAGCCAAAGGTAGATGCTTAACTGAAATGCAGATGCTTAACCCAGGCACCCCTCTATTAGACTTTTAAAATACTTTTGAATAAATCTACTCTATATACTTTATTTATCTACTTTAAACTCTATTTGGAGAACTACTGAGCTAGAAGAGAGTTAAAACATTACAAAAGATAAACAACATGTACTGTAGATCATAATATAAAGATAATTTTCCTGTTCTTACAACTCAATGTACTGCAAATTCTACTTTCTTCAAAGTTTCAGTTTCTGTTTTATGAGGTTATTTATATTACTTTAGTGTTCTTTTCTTATAGGAGATGGTTTCCTAATATAAGTTCCTAAATATACTATTTCAGTTTAATATTAGAAAAACACTAGAACTAACATTTTAGGGTCTTAAAATATTGTCCCATACATCAAAAATACCCATATTCAAAGAAAAATGTGTTCACTAAAACAGAGAAACATTGCTAAAAAAAGTATCTTAAGAGATTACCAAAAAAAATTTTTATCCATAATCCTGGACTATACTCCTGATCTTTTATGATTTTTATTAGGTCTAAATCTTACTTTAGACAGAAGTCAAAGAAGCCTGAAGTTTAGATAGAACTGTGAAATGAAAATTCTATCATTCAAAGGGACAATGTTCATAGCATCTATGAGGAAAACATACTGTGAGGTCAACTTACAGAAACTCTTTTTTCCAAAAGTGCCTTGAAAATCTCTACCCAAAATGGCAAGTGCTCAAGATATTTTTTCCAAAACTTTAATCTCAAGATTCACAGTACAGCCCTTGATAGAGCCTTCTTATCCTACAGAGGATAACACATTTTGAAAGGTAGTTTCCCACTGCTAACAGGACTTTATTACCTAGTGGGCTCCTGGGGATTGGAATTTTGCTAGGGCATTAACGTCCCACGAATTACTGTTTAAAGCATGGGACTGTAAATCTATGTATAGGAAATACTCCCAAGATGTTAAACTAGGCTCAGAAAAGGCTCTGAAGAGTTTTCAAAGAGATCTTATCTAGAATGTCAACTTGGATAATAAAGATCATGACATCTCAATTAAGATTTCCCAAGATAAAAAAATACTCACTTGAAAGATAAAAACTAAGAAAATTTTATTTTATACTAAGATAGCAAGAGGCACAGTTCCTGAAAGAACTTGAGAACATTTTCTTCTTATTAAAAAAGATTTTATTTATTTAATTTAGAGAAAGAGAGCGTGCACATGACTGGGCAGGGAGGCGCAGAGGGGTAGGGAGAAGGAGAAGGAGAGAATCTCAAGTGAACTCCATGCTGAGTGCAGAGCCCCACATGGGGCTCAATCTGATGACTCCGAGATCATGACCTGAGCCCAAACCAAGAGTCAGACGCTTAACTGACTGAGCCACCCAGGCGCCCAGAAAACATTTTCAGACATTTATTAATACCCTTCTTTAAACTGCTGGATCCTAGAACATGGATGATATATTTGCATAGATATATGCATAGGTATATCAGTTGCCAAATAAGGACCCTAAGGTAGGTTACAAGCTGGTTCACTAGTAAGCTAAATGCATTCTGAAATTTTTTGGCTCTTGGGGAATTTGTATAACAACCATCATAGGAAATGGATTAATATCCCTAAATAAAATAAATATGATAGAATATAGTGAGAGAGATTGATGATTTTTTTGACTACCCACCATCTTAGCTCAGAAGAACATAGTTCTAATTCACATACTCATATTTCTTTTTAGAAGTTAAGATTTATTAAGATTATTCTTATGACTTCTATGAACTAATAAACCATTGCTTGTGTTAGGGTGATTCCCTTCTCTAACTCTACAATTTATTTTGGGAAGACTCCCTAGGAGAAATTTTGGTCTCTGTGCTTGCCCTTGAGGTTAAGGAAGGAGAGTGAAGTTATCAACAGTCTTCACTAAGGGAAATTTCTGTTACATGACATTGAAAATAGGAAATGGACTCTCTAATTTTATGGGCTCAACTTCTAACCAATTGGGAGGATTGTCTGGCAAAACAAAACATTATTCCCCATTCATTCAAGAATATTTCTTGAGCATCTACTATTCACCAGGCATTATATTAGTGTAATGAAAAAAATAACACTTTCAAAGAATTTACAGGAACCAGGGAGAAGGTAGGGTACAATCAGACACATAGCTCAAATGCCGTAGATTGGCACTGCTCTATGGAATTTTTAATATTCTGTGACAGAATTGGAAGAGTGATATCAATGTGGTTAGATTTTTTTTTTCATGAAACTAAATTTCTTATTTTAACAGACTCTTCTTTATTAGTTTTATTCTTTTTACTTTTTAGGTGTTACGATAGACTGTAAGGTCCCTGAGAGCAGGGTGTATGTGTTAATGGCAGTCTTGACAAAATGTTTCTACTTGGCAAAATTAAAGTTAACATCCCTGTGGTTTGCTAATTTTCAGGGAGAAATTTCCCTTGCCTACAAAAATCTAAAAGCTTGTGAACCACTCACTGCCCAAAACTTGATAATCAGTGTTTTGTTTTTTTAAACATATCAAGGTGTTTATCAATTGTTTATGTCCCAGCCACTATCTTCTGAATTCAAATTCTTTCTTTTTGACATGCATCCTTTCAGAGTTAATTTAGCAAGAGACTCTTGTTCCTTTTTTTTTTTTTAAGATTTATTTATTTATTTTAGAGAGATGGAGGCGGGGGAAGGGGCAGAGGGAGAGGGAGACACAGAATCTCAAGCAGACTCCCTGTTGAGCACAGAGCCTGACATGGGGCTCGATCTTACGATCCTGAGATAATGGCCTGAGCTGAAATCAAGAGTTGGATGTTTTGGGCGCCTGGGTGGCTCAGTCATTGAGCGTCTGCCTTCGGCTCAGGTCGCGATCCCAAGGTCCTGGGATCGAGTCCCGCGTCGGACTCCCTGCTCAACGGGAAGCCTGCTTCTCCCTCTCCCACTCCCCCTGCTTGTGTTCCCTCTCTCGCTGTGTTTCTCTCTGTCAAATAAATAAGTAAAATCTTAAAAAAAAAAAAAAAAGAGTTGGATGTTTAACTGAATGAGCCACCCAGGCAGCCAGGGACTCTTGTTCTTCACTGTTTAAAAATGTATCTTTTACCCTCATGTTTAAAATGATATTTTAGTTGAATATAGAATTCTAGGCTAACATTTATCTTATCTCAGCATTTGAAGGTATTAAGTTCATTGTCATCTGGACTCCATATATGGAGGCTGATGAAAAATCATTTGTCAGTCTAATCACTGTTTTTTTGTGTTAAAGTCTAGTTGCTTTCAAGAGTTTGTCTTGGCTATAGTGCAGTTTCACCACTGTATCTAGGTGTTCTTTTATTTATCTACTTGTGGCTCATGCTTTGAATTTATATCTTTCTTTGATTCTGAAAAATTATTATATAATTTATATAATATATATATAGTTATATAATTAGATTTGTAATATACAACTTCCCCATTCTTCCAGAACTTCTAATCAACTTATATTAGATATTGTCACTCTAACCACCATGTATCTTAAATTCTTTTCATATTTACCGTATATTTTTCAATTGGGGTGCTAATCTTTCTGCTTGTTCACGTCATGGTGGACTGTTTCCTCATGTTGTTTGTTA